TGCCCCGTCGGTAGACAGCGGCCTCATGCGGGCTTTGCTCGAAGCCCATCTTCTTTAGCGTGGAGTCCAGCTTGGCGTTCCACGCCCTAGGTGCCTGCCGTAGGCCATAGAGGGCCTTGCGCAGGCGGAGTACCTTGCCCTCCTGGCCGGGAATCGCAAAACCCGGTGGCTGATGCACGTAGACTTCCTCCTTCAAGTCACCGTTGAGGAATGCCGACTTGACATCCATGTGATGGACACGCCAGCCTCCTGGGCAGCCAGCGCAAGAAGAAGTCGCACGGACTCCATCCGTGCCACGGGAGCGAAGGCGTCGTCGAAGTCGACTCCTTCCTGCTGCAAGAAGCCTCGGGCCACCAGGCGAGCCTTGTGCTTGATGATGGCGCCGGCTCCATCCCTCTTCAGCTTGAACACCCACTTAAGGGTGATTGCGCGGTGACCACGGGGGAGGTCAGCGAGCTCCCAGGTGCGGTTTTGCTCGACCGCATCCATCTCCAACTGCATCGCGGCGCACCATGCCGCATCTCTCTCGGCCTCTGCAAAGGACCGTGGTTCGCCGTCCTCATACGCGAGTTGTAGCTGCGCCTCCAGGTCACGTGGCATCAGTCCCGGCACCGGCTGGTCGCCGAGTAGATCATCCATCATGCGATACCGCAGTTGTTCGCCTCCATACCACGCGTCGACCCGCTCCTCGTCGTGAGTGAGCGGGGAAGCGAACTTCATCGGGTTGTGCTCTGCGTGAGCTGGTGCTGATGAAGACGAACCCGGAGTGGTGACCGCCGGGGCTGGAGTATGCGGCGTCGCCAGTTGTGGTGCCGTCGGCGTAGCGGGCACCGGAGTCGATGTAGTTTTGGGGGCCGGGGTAGACGTGCCCGACGGAGAGGAGCTGCTTGCTCCCCCGGCTTCCTTGAAGTGAGCGTACTCGACAATGAAGTCGTCATACGTCGGCGTCGCGCCGTCGTCCACCGCCTTGTCTCATTGCCACCCTCGCCCTTCGTTGAACACAACGTCTCGCGCCGTGCGCACACGCTGTGTCTTTGGGTCGAGGATGCGGTAGGCCTTTGAGCCCTCCGCGTAGCCGATGAAGACTCCCGGAGTGCTCCTGTCGTCGAGCTTGCCGATGTGGCCAAGCTCCGTAGCGAACGCAAGACAGCCAAAAACCCGCAAATGGGAGACCGCCGGCTTCCGCCCATGCCAGGCCTCATACGGTGTCCTGCCGTCGAGTGCCTTAGTAGGCGAGCGGTTGAGGATGTAGACGGTCGTCAGCACCGCCTCTCCCCAGAAAACAGCCGGCATCCCTCGCTGCTTGAGGAGAGCCCGAGCCATCCCCACAACCGTCTGGTTGCGCCGCTCGATGACTCCGTTTTGCTGCGGGCTGTATGGCGCGGAGTAGTGGCGCTGGATGCCCTCATCGGCGCAGTACGATGCGAATTCAGCCACCGTGAATTCGCCACCGTTGTCAGTGCGCAACATGCGCAATTTGCGGCCGCTCTCCGCCTCCACACCAGCCTGCGCGCGCCTGATGGCGTCCGCCGCTTCCCCCTTGCTGCTGAGAATCATCGCCCACATGTAGCGAGAGAGATCGTCGACGAGCAGCAGGAAGTAGCGTCGACCTCCTGGTGTGGCTGGCGTCACCGGGCCGCACAAGTCTCTGTGCACGAGCTCCAGCTTCTCCTTGGCCCGAAAACTCGCCTGTTGGGGAAAGGAGAGTCGTCTCTGCTTCGTCAGTACGCAGATGTCGCAGAACTGCTCCACATGGTCGAGGCATGGCAGGCCTCGTACCATCTCCTTGGCACTTAGACGCTTCAGGGCCTCAAAGTGAAGGTGCCCAAAGCGCTCATGCCATTGCCACGCCTGGTCGTCCCGACGGACAGCAAGACAGACCGGTTGTGCCACCTGCACATCACGGACGTAGAGTCGATTTCCACCTCTGGGTACCTTGGCGAGAAGGCGACCATGGCGATCCCAGATGCGTAGGACCCCATGCTCAATCAGCACGCGTGAGCCGTTCTCATCCAGCTGTCCCAAGCTGATGATGGAATTCCTTAGCGCGGGGATGTAGTAGACACCGGTGAGCAGTCGATGCTCTCTCGTCTTGGTGGTGAAGATGACGGAGCCGACGCCCTTAATTTCCACAGCGGAGGCATCCCCAAACTTGACGGAGCCTCGCGCATCGGAATCGAGCTCAGCGAAGAATTCCCTTCGACCGGTCATGTGGTGGGTGGCGCCGGTGTCAAGGCACCACCCCGTAGTCTTATCCTTCCCGGAGGCATCGCCGAGAAGAGCGTGTGCCTTTGGCTCGTCGAGGTGGATGAGAGCTTTTGTAACTGGTGTCGCTGAAGATAGCTCAATGCTTGCATGCGCCATGAACAGAGCCGTCTCCTCCTCCTTCGCCTGTGCGACGTGAGCCTGGCCTTGTCGTGGTTGCCGACACTCATTGGCCCAATGGCCAAACCGGCCACAGTTGTGGCAGCTGTTGTCTTGTGCCGGCTTGGGCTTGCCAGCGGCGCCGTCCTTGGCGCCTCCGCGGGCGTCCCCTTCGGCACGTCCTTGTGCCCTGCCCGGGGGCCCTCTTCGCGTCTTACGCTGCTTGCCATGCTTGCGGCCGCCCGTCGTGGAAGAAGGCTCCCCCTTCTTCCTGTCACCAAGGCTGGCATCCCACGGCTCCCGAGTTAGGAGCAGCTTCCCGCCGGTTGTGATGGGCCCCGAGGAAGGTTGTGGCTCGTCGGTGTCGACGACCTTGAGGCGACCTATCGCCTCCTCAATTGTCATCGTGGAGAGGTCCAGCAAGGACTCGATCGACCGAGCCATCTGCTTGTACTTCTCGGGGATGCACCGAAAGAGCTTCTCGACAGCTCTCTCCTCGGTGTAGGTGGCATCACCAAACTTCACCAACTTCTGCAGCAGAGTGTTGAGACGGAGAGCAAAGTCATCAACGTCCTCACCTGGCTTGAAAGCCAGGCTCTCCCATTCCTTACGAAGTGCCTGCAAAGTGGACTTGCGAGCACGGTCGCTGCCGATGCGTGCCACGGCGATGGCGTCCCAAGCTTCCTTGGCAGTCCGCTTGCTGGAAAGCGAGAACTGCATCTCGGGCGGGACTGCGGCGATGAGGGCGTCGAGCGCCCGTCGGTCCTCTTGGTGGTCGACGTTGCTGTCCTGGACTGCCTCCCACATGCGCCACACCTGGAGCCTGACCTTCATGATCCCGACCCACTCGACGTAGTTGGTTTTAGTGAGGGTAGGCCACCCAGCACTGGGACCAACATCCCTGACCACAGTCCGGACCTCGTAGAGGCCGCGGTCCTGGTCGTTGCAGCCGCCGTCGCGGTGCGCACCTCCACCTGGAGCGCGGGCGTGCTCGGCTGCCCACTGCGCCGTCCGCTCTTGCGCCACTTTGGCGCGGTCTGCGTCAGCGCCGTCGTTCGCAGGCGCGGAGCTGCTAGAGCTGTTGGAGCCGCCGCGGAGTGCTTTGGCATCCGCCGTAGCCTCACGTGCTGCGTCTGGTGCTGCTGCTTCTAACTCCGCCTTGGCTGCTTCTACCTCCTCTTTGGCTGATGCCAGCTCCGTTGCAGCCAGCCTTGACACCCTTGCTGCCGCAGCAGCTGCTGCTACAGCTGCTCGTTCACGCTCCTCTGCCACGGCGCGCTCGGCCTCCTGCCGGCGCCGCATGCTCGAGGTAGCCGTGTGCTGAGAGCGACCTGCAGACATGGCTCGCTGCAGGGGGGCTGTTGCATGAAGAGGAGGCTGTTGAAGACGAACTGCTGCTCGACAGTCCGGAGGGAGGAAAGTAACCAGGGGCAGACGGAGCAGCTGCTGCTACCGACTTGGGCTGCTCGCAGGAAATGCTCAGGGTACAAGATAACGAGGCTCTGATACCACTTGTTAGACCTTTGAACCTGAGCATTGATAGTTGTGGATGACACTAGAAGAGTTGGGACAATTTTCGTTGGTTTATTTCTCACACAATGCCATGCCAACCTGATGAGTTGGGGATACATACTTATAGGCTACTAGCCAGCCAAGCATATGCTGAGATGCTACTAAGATGCCAGTCTAAGATGCTAGTTTAAGATGCTGGTCTAAGATGCTATCCTAACTGCCAGTCTTTGATGGTCAGGAACTCTATCCTAACTGCCATAAGGATCATGTGCTGCAGCCCCACAAAAACCCTAGTACACAGACTTATCCAACAGGCACCGCTTGGTTTCGCCATGGTCCATGGCATCTTTTACGGTGTGGCCAATGGAGATCAGAAACGGACCTGCAAGGCTTCATCATTGAGCTGGCTGAGTTGGAGACACAGCAATAATCTCCTGATCGCGACAGAATGCTGGCAGGGAGGAAGCTCGCTCTGCTGGTGCTTTGCGTCTTTGTTATACTAACCAATTGATACACCCATACAGAAATTGGCCAGCATGAACAATGTCAGCGCGACGGTATCATCAGGAATAATTTGGAGAGAAAATCAACAGACTTAGACTAATATGCAAGGAAGAGGAGGGTCTAGCCAGTGGTCCCTATGGAGTAAACTCACCATCCAGTGTCGAAATGCCCTATGTTCCCTTTCTAGTATTCGCTAATATATAAACACAAAACTTCTGAAAACATGCATGCATGATGAAAGCATTGCCGCCATTGCTGGTCGAAACGCTTGCTATGCAGCAGCAAATGGCACCAGGCAGGCAAGTGTATGCCAACATTCATTAGCCAAAATCAGATTAAAAAATCAACAGAACACGCACACTAAATGGACATAAGCAGGAATACAACGTCAAATCTCCCAAACTAATACAACATGGAACCTAATCAAACGGAAACAGAGAGAAGATTAACACACACATACAGATACACGCACATGACAGTAAGCCAAGATCATTGGGCAGGCAACCTTGCTTGGAAAGCATAAAGCAAATGTACCACAAATGCTAATTAACCCAAGCAAGTCTGTATCTTCATCAAGCCAGTTGGCTAATTGTGTCCAGCAATAAGATAATGGAGGGAAGTTAGCAATTAATGATCAATCCTACGATTCCACTTCCTAGTTGACCATGCATGCAACATAGACCATTGATCTTCACATGAACAGTGAGGTATAGAAAATTGATGAACCCACATTGAAGAAGCCAATTCCTGCATCTCGGCAGCCAGAATACAAATCTAGGTACCTGTGGAAGAATCAACGACACCAGTCAAACCATTAGTACTATTCGTCCATGGAAAGACGCTGAAGTTATGCAACCTCACAAGTTTCTATTATTCAAACAGTAAATATTAGCTTCGCCACAAGGAAATTGTACCAAATACACCAAAGTTCAGTCATCTCGCCATTGTTGGCAAAAACAGCAATGGAAACAGAGATTGTCAGCTGGTAATTTGTGGTGTAATGGCACACTTTCAACAATCTAGGTTACCAATTCAATTGGAATATTCTTTGTTATCATGGGCATATGAGGGGCTCATGTGGAGTAGAAAAGCAGAAGCAGCAGGTTAGCTAATAGGCACATCTTTCAGAAATATATGAGCTCGATAGTCACCAACTACTTGAATTTAACAAAAATCATCCTATAGAATCTTCAAGCAAGGGGTCTTATTAATTAAAACTTCCTTCAGTACCTAATAGATACCATCTTTTTTACACTGCATGTCATCAAAACAAAGCTCGGAGTGCTCCTTCAAGCATATCATGTCACTAATTTAAAAATAAAAGTGGGTAATTCGTGATGAAAACAGTTTCAATGACAAATCTAGTCTTATGATTTTGCTCATGTGTTCAGTATGAAGTCTCTTATGGTGACCCAATTGAAGAAATTAGACCGCACACAACACATGTCTACAGCCTATAGCTAAATTTCATTGTTCAACTTTTAGGTTTGAACTGTAATATACGTATCTTGAGAAAGAACTGCACTGCAGCTATGCACTAGAACTATAATTATACCATTCTTGCATATGTCAATAGGCAGGCAACAATGAAATTTTGTTCAATTACTGTTCAAAGAATTCACAAACCTTGGCTACAGAAGCAGACGTTGTGGCATAAACTAAACTAAACCAGACACTACGAGGAATTATTTTTCCAGATCATAACAGTTACATAAGCACCAAACAAGCATGGGAAGAAAAACTTACAGAGCGCCATTGCAATATGTTGAAGTCAACAAGCAGCAAAAGAACAATCGATGCAACAATACTAAAGTTGTTGGCTTAACATGAAAGGATGTGAAAGGCATTCCAACAGAACCAATTATCAAAAGTAACTTGGTTTTGTTGTACCAGCAGTGCAAAGGCATGATATTTTACCTGTAGCATAGACGGTTTCAAATGGATAATAACGATCCCACTTGTTGGTGTCTAAAAGTTTCTCGCACTGAAATGGCTCAAGCTTGACCATGAAGACGCTCCTACCGGTCCACAGGAACACCAAATTATTGTCCTGGGCGTACCCTTGTATGGTCAAGAAATCATGTGAATCCATAGAGAAAAGCTTGCCCAGTTCAACAGTTCTTCCCATCTCCCATGATGCAACGCCATCGAAACCGGTCTTCCTCTTCCATAATTGGAGTTCCCGAACCCTGGTGTCACTGTCAGGGGAGTTCCCGGATGGAGTTGGGGTTGAGATTAGAGAACCCCACGCCCCAGTCTCTGACGAGTAAACACAGGTCTCGTAATAATCTGACACGACGACCTGGAACTGGAAGTGAACCTCGCCGGCACCGGCAGCAGAGCGGAGCACCGCCCCGTTGGACTTGTCCGGATCGAACCCCGGGGGATAGGCTAGGCGGTGCTGGTGGCCGGCGAAGGGGTCCCACACCAGGAGCTGGGGCCAGTCCAAGATTAACACGAGGCCATGGCGGCACCCGAGTACACGGAGGTTGGAGTCAAGCTGCAAGGAGAGGCGCCCGGGCGGAACGCGATTGGGGGCCTCCAGAGTAGGCTCGAAGCGGACAGGTTCGAAGGGGAGCCCGTCAAAAACTCCGTGGAAGTAACCGAGGAGGGGAGGGTTTCGGCGGTGGTGGAGGCGGAAGCGGCGGGCGAAGGCTGGGTCGGAGGTGAGGCTGCGCCAGCGCTTGCAGACGAGGGATGCGCGCGGGAGGGAGGACGGGAGCGGCGGGAGGCGGAGGAGGATCTCGGTGAGTAGGTTCTCGTCGTCGAGCGGCGGCGCCGCCGCCGGCGGCAACATGTCGCTCATGCGGGAGGGGGCAATGGGTGAAGCAGCCGCCACACTGACGCTGTGGTTGGAAAGCGGGTGACCTAGGCGACACAGTGAGATGAGATTGAAGTCAGGCCCATTGGAAGAAACAAGGCCCACGAACACACTTACTTGTTTGCTTCCTTTTTCTCAAAAAACATTTCCTATCATATCGTTTTCTCAAAACAAAAAAAGAGCCTAAATCCTTCGTAGTGCACGCGCACTTTTTCGTCGTCCCGATCGGTCGCGCGCGTGGTCCAGGTGCTATCTTGTCGGGTGCTCTCAACCAAGTGCGAAACGGCTGGCTTTGTCGCTATCCAATACCCACCCTTGTCCCGATCGGCCGCCGCCGCCACACCGCGCGCCGGCCACCTTCGCCCTCTCGCGCCGGGCGCCTCCGCCCCAACTCGCGCCGGCCACCGTCGACCCAACTCTCGAGCCCAGCGGCGCCGCTGCCGGTGGCCACCAGGCGCACCCATCTAGTTGGAATCCGTGCTCCACGATGGGGTCGGGTACCTGGCGGCTGAGATCCGATTCTGTGGGGTTGGCTCGACGGAGCGATGCCAGTGCATGCTAAAGAAGATGCGAGTGACGAAGCGGCGACAAGAGAAGGAGAAGGGCTAGCCGTGTGCGGTGAAGGTGCTCGCTGGGGCGACCGATGCGTCTCTCGACCTGCATCCTCGCAAAACTGCGGCGCCGACAGCAACTACCGCAGGTGGGACCTTGGGGCGGCGGCCAGAACAAGGCCGGTGTGGCAGCAACCAGGTACGATACGACACGCTAGCTCAGCGTACCGGAATTGAAAAGAGCCACAAAATGACAGAGACCAGCGGGCATGTTGGCCACCGTACGCGAGGAAGAAGACGGTCGTGGTAAAGCTGCGGTGGTAAAGCTGCACATCCGGCAGTGTATTTTTCGACCTGATGCCGGTTGTGATTTTGACCACGGTAGTCAATTGCTTTCTTGCTAAGGCTTCTTCTTTTTGGCAATCAGATGCCCGCTTGTCCAAATACATCTATGTTAGTCATCCTAAACATTGCGTGGAGAAAAGAACGGATTAGAGAGATGTGCCATGTCCTTAGCTGAGTCCATGGCTTATTGTTTCATGCAGTTTAAGGGAAGAAGGCGCCACACATGCTACATCTCCGGGGCAGTGATTGTAAGGGAAGAAGGCGCCAGCGGGGTCCGGGACCGGCAGTCGGGCAGCTGCGACGAGCTGCCGGAGCAGGGCCGCGGCAGAGTCCAAGAGTGTGGTGCTCTAGGGGCTTCTTGTAGGTACGGGTGCGACGCCGCGACTGAAACGAGGTGGCTGTGATCTCGTACTGATGCGGCTTCTCTTGCTACGAGCTGGTACGTGCATGTGTGGCACTTTGAACGACGGCTAGATACAGCCTCTTGCTTGTATGGTCATGGTGCTTCTCGCTTTTATTTTTTGGATCCACAAGTGACCAAATTTCAGCATTATTGCACAAGTTTCAGCTTTCTCCTCCTCTTCCCTTCAGGGTTCATGATGTGTAGCTGCTGAAAATGCCAATATTTTTTGTTGGCATCCACAGTAGTTGTAGTTGCACACATAGTAGTCTTAGTTGGCACATGCATGGCCACAGAGTTGCACAATTTAATCCGCATAGTTGCATGTGAATTGTCATGACTTGTAATGTAGTCTAGTTGCACACACATTGATATTTAGTTGGCTTGTAATGTAGTCTAGTTGCACACACATTGATATTTAGTTGGCTTGTAATGTAGTCTAGTTGCACACAAATTATTGTTTAGTTGGCGGGAAGACTAGTTGCACACACATATGCTCAGTTGGCTTGTAATCTAGTCTAGTTGCACACACATTGATGTTTAGTTGGCAGGACACTAGTTGCACACACATATGTGCAGTTGACGCGACAATGTAATCTAGATGCACACACATTGATATTCAGGCGGCAGGACTAGTTACACACATATATGCTCAGTTGGCGCGGCAATGTAGTTTGGTTGCACACACATTGATATTTAGTTGGCAGGACTATTGGCACACACATATGCTCATTTGGCGCGATAATGTAATCTAGATGCACACACATTGATATTTAGTTGGCAGAACTAGTTACACACATATATATGCTCAGTTGGCGCGGCAATATAGTCTAGTTGCACACATATTGATATTTAGTTGGCAGGACTATTGGCACACACATATGCTCAGTTGGCATGGCAATGTAGTCTAGTTGCACACACATTAATGTTTAGTTGGCAGGACTACTGGCACGCACATATGCTCAGTTGGCGCGGCAAGGAGGTAGTTTAGGGGCGGAGGTCTCATAGAGAAAAACTGCATATTTACGGTGTACGAGAAAAGTTACACATCCTTGTCAGATAGTTGCACATCAACGACTAGTCAGTTGCACAAAACAGGGATAAAATTGCACAAAAAAAATCGTCGAAATATACTCATGTGGGATCTAGTTTTGAAGAGCACGACGTGAGGGTTCCAACGATGAAAGCAGATCTTAATTTTGATATTCCGTTCAAAAGTTATGTCTTTTTAAAAGAAGTTAAACTCAAAAATAAATCACAGCCATGAGAGGACCACGTGATAGTGTAAATGCCAACTAATGATGAATGCATGGTACTAGATGCACATGCATGTACGTGAGAGACCAGCAAACTAGCCTGTCACGTGAAAAGAAAGGCCACAGGAACCGTACTATGGGATTTCCTAATCCGGGAGAAGGGGACAGGAAATTTCTAAAAAAAGGTGGGCCACCCGGAAATGCTAATGGGCAAACAGCCGCTCGCTAAACATGCCCAAAAAAGAAAGGAGAGAACGCACTCTCTTTCGGAAAGAAATATTTGTACCATCACTATGCTGCACAAGATACCATAAATTAGATTTCAAGTGCCTGCCAATTATAGTGGTGATACTTTTCTCCATCTCCCGTGGAGTATTTAGCGAATGCGGCAATGATTTTCATTTCTGAAGAAAACACCCTCATTTTCTATCTAACATTTTGCTTCAATTTTCGGAGTTCAAATTCAGTAGTTTAGTAGGTTCGCACGTGACTTATCGATGTCTGAATCTCTTACTGCAATGTGTAACTTTTTGGTTTTCACTATGCTAGTTTCGAATATGTACTGTGTTAAGCATGACTGAATAGATTATTATTTTTAACCATATAACTGAATAGAGTTATAGAAGCTCTTATTCGAGTAATCATCTTGAGCAGCTTTGGAGCTTTCTGTTTTGTGCTATGTACTACCCTTTTTCTATAATCGCTCATAGGACCAGAAAACCAAATGAAATACAACATTTCTTCATTATGTTCAAGCTATCTAGAGGGATTACACGTGGATGCACAAAGGGAAACAATACCTGCATTGCATCGGATAGGGTAAATACATCTTAATGTATCTTCTATTTTACTTGATCTCGGTGTATCTTAAAATTGATATGATCATCGAGGGAGGAAGCACTTAGTTTTTCCAACATAAGAATGAAAATTAGTTTGCAGCTAGCACCAACTTATGAGAAACTTCTTACTGCGGTGAAAAAGGAACAAACGGCAAGAGTGAAAAGATGCACATAAACACAAAGAAAAATGTAAGCGATGATCATCAAGCTGGCTAGCTTGCTTCAACTACTTGCTTTGAAAGCGTATTCCAAATGAACCACAAGGTAAGTACTTAATAGAATCAAGTCAATGTGTCTTCAACATGTCCTTGGCTAATTGCATCCCGAAATTAGATAATAGTGATAGGGTGGTAAATTAAAAGATAAGCCCTACAAGTTCACTACCATTTTTTAGGGGTAAACTTGCTTTACTTTATTCAGAACTTAAATTTATAGGAATGATTAAAGGATCAAGATGGTTTATAAGCCACAGAGGACAACCCTCCGCTAGATGTAAAGCATGTTTAGCTAGATTGTGCGCTTTCATATTGAATAGATGCCCTTCATGCACACAAATAACAGAAGCGAAATCCTTTAGAGTATCTTTGATTTCTCTTACCAGAGATCCAGTAATTCCATCCGTGCCATTTGTTAATATCCATGCTCGCACCTTTGCACTAAAGAAGATCTTTAGCAAGTGAGAGTGCCTCACGGCAAGCAAGCAAGAGTGTCTCATGGCAAGCAAGCGTTTCAAGTACCCGCCTCCTAGGGAGCTTCATGGGCGAGAGAGCCCTCCGTGCCTTCTATTTCACAGCGGTGTGCTGCGGGGGCCTCTCGGGGGCTCTCTGTGTCGTTCGATCTACCCGAACAACACGGACTCGGGCGACCGGCCCGCCTCGCTGGTCCATGGCGGGTGCACCGCATGCACGCCAGGGCCCACCATCATGGGGTGGCTGTCGGTGTCAAATCGGCTGATCTCGGGTAGGGGGTCCCAAACTGTGCGTCTGAGGATCGAAGGTAACAGGAGACAGGGGACACGATGTTTACCTAGGTTCGGGCCCTCTTAATGAAGGTAATACCCTACTTCCTGCTTGATTGACTTTGATGAGTATAGGGGTTACAAGAGTTGATCTACCTCGAGATCGTAATGGCTAAACCCTAGATGTCTAGCCGATATGATTTGTGATGATTTGTACGGACTAAACCCTCCGGTTTATATAGACACCGGAGGGGCCTAGTGATGGGGAACGTAGTAATTTCAAAATTTTCCTACGCACACGCAAGATCATGGTGATGCATAGCAACGAGAGGGGAGAGTGTTGTCTACGTACCAACGCAGACCGACTGCGGAAGCGATCACACAACGTAGAGGAAGTAGTCGTACGTCTTCTTTCCGATCCGACCGATCCAAGCACCGTTACTCCGGCACCTCCGAGTTCTTAGCACACGTTCAGCTCGATGACGATCCTCGGGCTCCGATCCAGCAAAGCGTCGAGGAAGAGTTCCGTCAGCACGATGGCGTGGTGACGATCTTGATGTTCTACCGACGCAGGGCTTCGCCTAAGCACTACAACGATATGACCGAGGTGGAATATGGTGGCAGGGGGCACCGCAC